TGGTGAGCGTGAACGTGCATGACGTCACACCCAGTCTCAAATTCGAGCCCGAATCCCTCTTATATATTTCACTGTACAGGATTATAGAGGCAATCTCAGTGCGCAGAGAAGGGCTCATTCAGCCCATCAGGCAGTTCTTTAAGCATGTATAGGATAGAAAAACAGGTATTTTTAACATTAAAAGTTGCGCAATGCACCTTTAACTAAAACTAAAACAATTAAAAATGATTTTACTTAACTGAAATAAAGCTGAAATAAAATATAAATATTAGATGAAAAACTTTTTCTTTAAAAAACTTGAATGAAAGAAATGTTAGAAATGTTGAAGTACTAAAGTTTCTAAAACTAAAATAATGCCAAAATTAAAATTGGCATTAGTTAAAATGCCAATTGCACATAACAAAATTACTGAAAGATAATTCAAAATATTAACAAATACTATAATAGTGTATATATACATTATTATACGACACTAATAGTATACAAATTATTTTATAATACATTATAATAGTAAAATAACACTGGAAGGAAAGGAACTTTTTTTTCCCCCAACTCAATCTCATTAGAAAACAGCTATTTTATAGTTTAGTGAATTGGTGGTGAATTCATACAATTTAATTCGTACAAAAAAAAAAAAAAAAAAAAAAAGCATGACGGTCCACCCCTAAACAACCATTAGAGGAGCGCAAGAATATCATATGAAAATGTATGAATGAGATTGTGCAAACTCGTACGAAGTTACGTGAAATAGTTCTGAATTTCCATGCGAGTGTGTTGGTTTTCTCTTCGTATAACATGCTCAATAAGGCCAGGAATGTCCATTTTGATTTCATGTTAACTTTAAGGAACAGAAACAAAGGCCCTCGTTTTTTAAAATGTTGCATAGAAACCGTCCAACATTTGATCTTACGATGATTTCTCAACGTACGCACGCACTATACGTACTCTCGACCCAGAAGTACGTCTGCTTTTGCACAAACGCACGGTTTAGAAATGAGGCCCCAGATCTCTCAAACATATAGGATGCTCTATTTCTTATAACAGCCAACATTTTTCCTACCTTTATGTAAGAGGTTCCTGTACATTGTTTTGTATTTGTCAGAAAACCGCTGAAGAGGGTTGCAGTACCGATCGTACTGCCTAGGGCTCTTAGTTGTATTTCAAAGTAAACATGATAAAAAGTAGATTTTTTGTGTGTCTGGATTTTGTAAGTGTAAAATCATGGTGAATTTCATGCTGGCTTTTGTAAGATTCTAGTGAAACAAACATTGAGTTCTGCAGAGTAATGCTGTGCTTCTGTTGTGGTTTGTTAAAATCCCCAGTGAAACCATGTTTGCATTTGTGTTTCTGCACACCAAACGGATCCACTTTACCCGATGTGTCTTTATCTTTTTTGATTGTTGCCATTTATCTGTCTTTCAAAACATACAGACACACAAAGTAACAATGATCGCATGCGACCTTCAATCGGCCTGCTCATTTGACCTCTGGAAATAATACTGCAGTTCAGCAGCAATCCACTTTCAGACACTCGCTGTCCTCCTAAAAGCTCTCCATTGCCCTGTGTGTGTGTGCAGGAATTTACAAACCACACAGAATTCACCTTCACAGGTCTCAGGTTCATGCTAAAAGATTATTATAGAGAAATATTCACATATTAAAGGGATATTATTTCATCATTTACTCACCCTCAAGTTGTTCCAAACCTGTGTGAGTTTCTTTCTTCTGCTAAACACAAAACATGATATTTTGAAGAATGTTGATAACCAAACAGTTTTTGGTCCCCATTGACTTCCATAGTATTTTTTTTCCTACTATGGAAGTCAATGGCAATCATCAACTGTTTGATTACCAACATTTTTCAAAATATCTTATTTTGTGTTCAGCAGAAGAAAGAAACTAAGTGATGACAGAATTGTAATTTTTTGGGTGAACTATGGCTTTAACATTCCATACAGTACATTGTGTACAAAGTGGGAATTTCACAAAGAAATGTGCAGGTCAATTTTCACCTCAAAATTATGTAGAAAATCATTTTGCATCAAGAAAATAAAACCCATTTAGGATTTTGGGTCAAATTGTTATAAGCCAAGTATATTTTTTTTAATACAACGCAATAAAAATTAATAAAAAAAATATTTTAGTACAATAAGCATGATGTCTGATTACAAATATACAATGGCAATATATACTGACAATGGTTGCATGGTTGGTTAAATGTGCTTCATTTTCTTTATGCAAAATATTTAGCAAAATAGATTTTTTTTCATTTGATTTTGGGGTGAAATGTGTCCCATGAAATTCTTGAGTTTCTACAAGATTCTCCCCAAAAAGACAGTCTTTATGGGTATATCATAGAGTATCATATTCCCATTACAACAGTAAAATCAAAAATGCATCTTTTCACTATATTTCTAAATCGCACATTTACATTTGAAAGAGTGAAAATGCTTAAAATACTTGCTTGACTTTAAATAGCTCTTCCCATCAATTCTGCTTAATTTTTAATGTTGGAAATGGTAGATGGGCATTAATAATGCACTGTGGTGACCATTCATAATTGATGATCTGTTATTTCGCAAATTCAATATGTGGTTTGTTTAGAAATCCACACGGTCATCAAGATGAGCAGGAAGACAAACTCCATCCTCAATGTGAACCCAAGACCTTGAAACTATTAGAAAATAATAAAATGCCTCTAAAACGTAGGACTTTTCCCTTCAGTGTTGAGCTTATATTTGGAAAAACACCAGTTATATTACAAAAAAGAAAAGAAAAAAATCATTCAAAGCATTCAAAATTACATTAGAGTGCTTGCCTAGTGTTTTCCTTTAATTTGCTTTCGTACATAGTGTTAACTACTGTAATTGGATTGTTATATTTGGGCTTTTATTCAGTTAATCAAACGGTCAGTCCACAATTCCTGAGTCTACAAGACAAAATGTGACATGAAGCATTTCAAAATGAAAATAACATTTTATGAAATAGATGCACTTGTTAACACTATGTGCAATACATAGGTGAAAATTAGCTATACAATATAAATAAATTGCATCTTTTGTCTGCAATTACACATAGCCTTACTTCTCATCAAGTTATCTATGGTTTAGTGTACTTTGAATACATTAATACATATTTACATACATACATATGATAAAATGCATAAACATGTACCAAGTCTTGTGTGGGAAGGCCGGTCAGGGTGAACAGATCAAGCATATACACTATTATGCTGAGGTAACATTTCAGAAATGTGATAAAACAGATCATTTGAAGCCCACATTCGGCCACAAAACACTCTATTTCTAACAGGAAATAACATGGGCATTAAAAACATTAATAATGCTTAGGAGAATGTGCTTTGCTTAGCAAAATCTACAAGTGCTCCACTACTCTAAAAAGCTATGCTAGGAAGCATATTCAAATACAGAGATGCGAAATTGGCTATAGACGTTCTCTTGGACACACAAAATAAAATCCACTTGAAGAACTGGGATATAAGTTAGTTGATCTTGAGCATTAAGCGTAACCATCCTTAGCTTGCAAGAACAAATATTGAGCAACTTGAGGCTTGAGGTGAACACGTGGCTCGAGGTGAACTGATTCAAAGTTCAGATGGAAGGCATTGCAGAAACGTCTAAAACCCTTTAAAACCCAAAATATGTTTCCTCTAAAAACCATAATCCTCATCATTTGCCTTAATGGATTCCACACACCCAAGTCAAACAGTAGCCAAGTCCTGAAACGATTTAAATCTAGTGTCTTGAAATGATTCGGTGGCTAACAACAATCAGATATCCTGAACCTGAGATTTAAAAGAGCTTTAGGTAAATCCACAAAGGCAAACAGGTGTGAAATGATATCATATGATGAAAAGAGCTGTTGAAACGGAGGAGACAAAGTCGACAGCCTTTGAAGGAGCTTTGCAGGAGAGAGAGAGAGAGGTAGGGAGCAGTGATGTAGACTGCATACTTGGAAATGGAGTGCGGGCACACTTTAGATCCAATAATCAACCCTGGGGACAAGACTATTCAGCACTATTCTGCACAGACTTGACATCTAACATCCTTTTTTTCCAACTGACATTGGACATCAATGGAGAAAGAGCGATTTCAGGTGACTGACATGACTGGGGTTGCAGGGCTCATTTGAAATAGCACCATCCCACCACTCTCCCACACGCTGAGGTACGTTATTGGTACAAATTTAAATATTACACAGTTTTAACAGTTTTTCCCATTGCCAACGATGTAAGAGCAACATCTACCTAGCAATGGGGCACCTTAAGACTGCTAAAAAGGACAATTCCAGGTTTTAACTCAAAATCGTATTGCTGCACAGACAACAGACCTTAGTCAGAGTAGACGCCATATTTAAAAAAATAATTTACTCACCCTCAAGTTATTCCAAAAATGTTTTTCTTCCGTGGAACACAAAAGAACAATATTTCAGAGTTCACAGATTAGTCCATACAATGAAAGTCAATGGAGTCCCATGTTATGTTGTTTTGGACCCCAGTGACTTTCATTATATGGACAAATCCGTTATTCCAAATTGCTTCTTTTGTGTTTCGCAGAAGAAAGTTTGAAATTACATGGGAGAGAGCAAATGATGATAGAATCTTCATTTTTGGTTGAACTACCTTTTTAAGGTCATAGGTCACGTATATTTTTAAGCTTTTTGGAGTCTACCCTGACTATGGTCCATACATGCAGCTTTCATACTATGACTTGTAATTTGTTACGAAAACAAACAAAAAAATTGAAATTTGGGTCATGGGCTGCAAGGAAAGAGCCTGAGAAATAGGAAAAAGGCTAGGATATGTTATAAGAAAACAGCGTTGGAACATCGGGACACAAGAGTGTCCACCAATTTTCATGTGATTGTGCCTAATTTGTTCATGATTGGCAAAGCAGAGAATGAGCGTTTTGAGGATAGAAGCATATTACCAGGACCTTGGAAAAGATGTGTGCTTAAACTAAGGACAACTGAACCAAATGTAGAATTTTCCACCATTCTGTTTTTATGCAAAAACAATTAACAGCCATCAGACATGGGCCACGTTTTGTTTATTAGTCTTTTAATATGATAACTGTTTCTGGAAAACCTCCTGGAGAGTGATAATATCGGGCAGGGAACCTTCTGGACTAGTGGCCAGGAAAAAGCGAGTTATTACAAATGCTGGTGCCATCACTTCCACATTTCCTTCTAGCTGTACCACATGCATCTCTTTGACATACAGTGTCATTTGCTCAAGTAACGACAATGAAACCGGCCCACAATGGCCAACGAGACTCGTTATGAACAAGCAATGCCAATAATGTCAAGAAGAGATGATTGTTTCCACACAGTGCAGCGGTAAATCTCACATTTCAAGGTTGGAAAACCTGCAAGGAACCCCGTCCTGAATGCCCTGCTCCACTCATTTCTCACTTCCTCTATCCCACAGTTGCACAGATGATTGGTTTGGTTGACTGCTTGGTTCTCCTGCAGGAGTTACTCAGTGTATTTGTGTTTTTCAAACGCACTCTTGGCTCATGAAAGATGAAAAATGGGGGGGGGTTCCAGTAGCCGATCAACTACGCCCACCCTCCCATACAATAATCCCTTTCGATTTTGCCCCTATATTGGTATCCAGCAACTGAATACATTCCACCCCCTTCCCCCCTCCACATCTTTCCCCAAATGTAATAATTAAAAAAAGGTAAAAACAAGGTCTACTGCGGAATGGCTTTACTCCTCACAGTCATTAGGGGATGCCAGAACCCCTGTGAACTACTGAGGTGCGGTTGGCGTTCTTGCGGCTGGTCCGTCGAGTCTTGGTGTTCTTTGCGGCCGGGGGGCTCCGAGCGATGGGCGAGACCCTCCCCCTGGGGCCCTTTCGCTTCCCCCTAGGCCCTGCATGGCCCCTCCCGGCCACTAAGGGTCACTTCTTACGGGAGTGGAGTGTGTCCTGAAACTTGGTGCTGGTGTAACGCACGTGGAAGCCCTTTTTATTGATGGTGTCGTCTGAGCGAAATTTGATGACGATGGAGTCGCCAGCAGAATAGATCTCCTCTGGAGGCTGGAAACACAAAGATGGAGGCAGATGTCAACATTTGAGCACACTGGATAGAACTAATTCCGACCGTCTGCTAGACTCTTCACGTCAGAGAGGTCAGATAAATCTGGGCAAGTCATGTAGTGTATTCTGGTCTATAGTTTTTTTTTGTTTGAGACCGACCGTTTAGCCAGTCTGTCTCCTTCCTGACCTGAGCCCCAGTTAGTCACATTTCAACTCTAAGACTATGTGTCATATTACTAGAGAGCAGAGCGGCACCACCCCAGGAGGGATGAATCCCATCTCTTTTCAACAGGTCAGGTCTGCCCCAAAAACTTTTCCAATTGTCTATGAACCCTATGTTATTTTGCGGACACCACTTAGACAGCCAACCATTGAGTGAGGAAAGTCTGCTAAGTATCTCATCACTCCTGCGAACAGGAAGGGCGCCAGAGCAAATTACAGTGTCTGACATCGTACTTGAGAGTTCACACACCTCTTTAATGTTATTTTTAGTGTTCTCCGATTTTAAAATGCTAGCATCAGAATATTTTGGAGTCCCAGTTGAATATTTTCTGGGTTATTTGTATGGCCCTTACGAAGTCATTTTGTGAGGATGCTTTCTTAAGCCCAAAGTACACTTCAGTTTTTTTGCAAATGCTTAGAGTATGCGTACATTGGACTGCCAAATCTTTCAAAGTATACTACATTTGATGTGCTCGAACACAGGCACTCAACGCGTGCACACTACAGTTTCCATTTTCTGCCCTATTTGTCTCCAGAAATTCTGATTGATAAAAAAAAGTTGTACTTAAACTTTAAAGTTGTAAGGATCTCTTAATCCCCTCACACAAGTGCACGTCAACGTGGGTATCTGTTGTTTTTGCCATCAAGCGTATTTAATGTTGTTGTTCCAAAACTTTATTGAGTCTCCGTTTCTTTTTCGACTGTGAACCAACGAGCTGGAAAAGTGTTGCCACCTTGTGGACAAACTTATTATGGCAAAACAAAATTAAAGGTGCATGTGTGTGTCCAAACTTGGTCCTGGAGGGCCACTGTCCTGCAGAGTTTAGCTCCAACTTGCCTCAGCACAGCTGCCTGGAAGTTTCTAGTATGCCTAGTAAGACCTTGATTAACTGATTCAGATGTGTTTAATTGGGGTTGAACCTGAACTCTGTAGGACAGTGATTGAACCCTCCAGGAGCAAGATTGGACACCCCTTGGCATGTGAAGTTTGCATGGTTTGAAAAATCGGGTATGCTGATGATGAAACTTACATCATACTCGTAAAAAGCGAAGTATATGCTGAGCTTTAGAAGGTAGCTGCCTATGTGAACAGTGGATAGTGAGACTGCTCACTAGGGCTTAAACCTCAAAAAACTTGATACAGCTCAGAGTAGTTTTCACTGTGTAGCAAAAGGTCTGGAAGATGTTAAGAGTTAAGAGTGTGTGATTGTTCTCTGAGCAAGCCTAATGGGTTATTTTGGGCTGTGACAGCCTAATGTGGCAGCACACTTTTAAGCTCATGCTGCTCGAGGGACATAGTCCCTGCTGTTAGTAAATTGTCAGTTGCTTTAGATTAAAAGCACATGCTAAATGGCATGTTACCAAAACATGATTGAGACAAATGTGCACTGTTTAAAATCCTCTCGGGTCAAGTCAAACAAACATCTCAGTCGATGGGCAGGTTGCGCCGAATGTCAGCGGCCGTATCAGAATAACATTTGATGTACCTGGTCTAAAGTCCACGTCAGCCCTTCTCATAATTTCTCATTGAACCACAGTAAATGTAATCATGCTGTTCTGTGACCTATGGAGATTATCTCATTCACGTATACACTGACATCTCATTGTTCCTGATATTTTGTGGAACATTATTATTAACTTCTCCAAAACAGGAAATGAGTAAAAACCCAGATAAACTCTTTCAAAGACCAGTCTTTATCCTATAAGGCAGTGGTTCTCAAGGGCTGGATTGTGTCCCAAAAATGGGTCACAGGTCTGTTGTAATGGGGTCATGGACAGCAGGGTAAATCAGGACTGTAAGGGCCAGTGAACAAAATGTCTGACGGCTCATAGCAACTAATCAAGCATAACTATGTCATTAAGAGTGAGAGAAGGCAAAGAAATGTGGTTCTGCATATAGCTGGAGTCCTGCTGGTGCTGTGTGATTAGTCACAGAGAAGTTTTTTAATTAAATAAAAAATGTGCAATTAGAAGTTGATAATCTGGGCTAAAACTACTAAAGGAATAGTTCACCCCAAAATTTCAGTTCTGTCATCATTTACTCACCCTCACGCATTCCAATCATCTTCAAAACACAAATGAAGATTTTTTTAATGGAACCTCAGAGATTTCGGTTCCTCTAATAAAAGGCCATTGCACCAAAACTTTGATGATTCAAAAAGATCATTAAGACATTGTAAAAGAAATCCATATGAACCGAATGGTTTGATCAGATGAACATATTTAACTTAAGCATTTATTCAAGTATAAACACTGATCAACACACAAAGAGAATTAAATACCGTATGTAAACAGAAGCTCAAACTTTCTTGCGAGATTAATGAGAACCAAAGGCGCCCGTTCTCAGGTTTCACACAAGCAGATTTAAGCTTCTGCAAGAGGTTCGTTCTCGTGCATCAAGCAATTACGATTGAGCTTCAGTTTAGCATATTTGATATGCTCTATGTTTGTGCATGGATCAATATGTGTATAAACGCCTAAATTAAATCTGTATATCATATAAAGTGATCATTACTCTTCAGAAGACACGGATTAAAACGCTGCTTTCATACAGTATAGATTACTTTTATAATCTCTTTATGAATTTTTTGTGGAATAGACTTTAAGTGAAGGGACAGAAATATCTATTATAATAGGTTTTATTAAAAATATCTTCATTTGTGTTTCAAAGACTAGCGCAAGTCTTTTGGGTTTGGAATGACATGAGATTGGGGGGGTTGAACTATCCCTTTAAAGGTCACTTTTACTACTAAGATTTTATATAGTAAATGTAGATCTGTGTTTTACCCCTGATCCGCAGTAACGGCCTAGTCTGGGTGATTTGGTGTCCGCCCCATCAAACAGCTCCATGTAATCATAGCCACAGTCGGCCTCCTCCTCGATTTCGAAGGTCTGGAAGATGAGCTCCACACCGTAGCCCTTCTCTGCTGTGATCACCCACTGACAGTCTGATGCCCCGGGGTAGTTATTATCACCAAACTGGGCATGAGAGTAAAGGTCTTTAGTTTTCACCTCCGCTTTCAGACGACCTCCACACTCTAGAGAAGAGAGGAAAATGAACATGTGAGGTAATTCACAGGTGAGTCTGACTTCAGCATCTCAGCATATGACTGAATATCAATAGTCTTGTGTAGCCAGACTTGTGGCTGAGATCAGCACCAAATGACATAAACACAGCGCTGTAGCTTAGCAACTAACTTACATTGTTATATTGAGATACAACACTTAGTGATCTAATTCATTTGGGATTTCCAAACTCTTTTGTCACCCGAACACATTTGATCTAAAATATTAGTTACGGCCAGTTCACACCAAGGACATTAACAATAAGATAAAGATAAAGTTTTAAAAAGCATTCTACATTTAAAATAGACGTGGAGTTAGTCCACACCACAACTGTAACGATAACGGCACAGGGAAACAATATAGTTGAAATCACTGGATGATTTTTTTTCCAGCTGATGAATAATAAAAACATTGGCAGCCAATCAGAATCCACCTGACTTTAAAGAGCTCAAGCATTTAAAGTGGTAGACGACAAAACTGCAGTATCATAAAAAACGTTATCATGTGGGCGCTAATTTAGTTATCATTAAAAGATTGACATTCTTTGTGTGAACGGGCCTTTACACTTAATAATTTAAGTTAATATTTCAATAATTTAACAAGACATTCGCATGTTCATGGTTCTCTAATGTTGGTTAATGGCCAAATTACATACAGGGAAACAAAATATTTCATCTTTATTTTACAGTTCCCCCATGAACCCACAAGGGTTTGCGAACATCTGAAATAACATAAAAAGGTCAAATATAAAATGGATATGTCTAGCTCTCAAATATGATGTATGAATATATAAAAAATATATTGAAAATGAAATATATTTTTGAAAATCTGAAAGAATGTGTTACAAACCTTTCAAACCATGAAATGTCCAGAAAGTAATTTCCAAATCTTTCAAGTAATATAATCAACAACCATATTGATCATTACAAGTTGCACCAATTGATGGTAGGATCTTTAATCGCTTGAATATGGTAATCATAAATGGTCTACATCATGGCTGATAAACTACATTACTTAAATGGAAAATGTTTTAGAAAATATTAGAAAAATATTAATTATTGAACACTGAATCTTAAGCATCTTAACTCTTTCCCGCCATTGATGGAAATTTCCGGTAATCCATGTTTTCACTGTTATACGGTAGGGGGCGCTATTACACATCGTCTGAAAGAGAACTGAATCTCCGTAACAAAACACAGGCGGAGAAGAAGCAGAAATAAGCGATAGAAGCATTGCTTACGCACATGTAAAATAATGCAATTATCAAACATTAAACAGCATATAAATCAAAACTGCCTAACGTTACTGAATGGAATGTCGATATAGGACTTTAAAGATGGGGGTGATGATGGACTCGATCTACTCCATCTGTGTTTTGATCATCATTCTGAATCCGATCCGGACGTAAACATAGGAATTTTCTCAGCTTTTTGTTTAAAATGTTTTTTTTTTTTTTACTTACCCACATTCAAGTTTGATTTTAAAAAGAATGCATTTTTTAAAATCAGAGGCTTTCATCTTTCTTTTTATACATTCCATGTACATATATTCATACAACAAAATATTCTGGGGGCCATGAATTTTTTGTGAAAATTATCAAAAATGCTGGCGCTACCTGGCAACTTAAAAAGAAAAAGCTGGCGGGGAAAGAATTAAAAAGCAAAAAGCCATTTAATTTGATTTTACCACAGCCTGTTTTTAGGAATAACAAAGCACTACACAGTCTCTTATAGTTTTATTATATAAGGTTGGCTTGTATAATGTCATATTATAAAAGACTACCAGTCTCTTTCAGATTCCAGTGTGTAACGTTAATGCACATTTCATTTAGATAGATGTGTGCTCACCTGCAGTATGGGAAGCCTCAAAGCCTTTCTTCTGCACCGAGTTGTCAGAGAAGAAGCGGATGAACATCTTGTTTCCGGTGGATATGATTGGCTGAGGTTTCTTGGTGCCGCAGTAGCGTCCGAGGCTTGCCGCTTTCCCATCCCGACCATCATAAATCTCAATGTGGTCATAAGCACATTCCAGGTGAGGCTCCATGTCGATTTCATTGAAAGCCTGAAACAAGCGGCTCAAGTCAAAGTTTGAACGGGGAAACATCAGATTTCCGAGAATTATATAGCTTCATGATACAAGACTTCCGATGTAATCGAGCGCCATGTTTACATAAAAACCAATGGAAAAGCAGCACAGTAGAATGCAAAAATGCGTTCTGTGCAAACAACCCCTATAGGACCATTCACACCGTTTTAAAAGGCGAAATGCAGGGAAGTGGACTAAAAAATCTAGGTCTAGAGATGGTTTTTAAAAAAGTTAAACATTTTTTGAAGTTTTAACTGGAAAAAGACGTGAGACACGATAGTCACAAACGTGCCTGTTTAAAAACCGTGAGACACAAGTAGGGATGTCCCGACCCGATCACGCGATCGGAAATCGGGCCCGATCACGTGGTTTCAGACTCGATCGGAATCGGACGTTACCTCCCGATCAGGACTCGGATATATGTAAATTAGGGGTGTAACGGTACATGTATTCGTAATTATTGAACCGTTTCGGTACGAGGCTTCCGGTTCGGTACGCATACAAACCGAACGATTCCTAGGACCATTTTTCTGCCGACAAAATCCGCGCTGGCGCGATCACCACAACGTTGCGCAACATCAAATGGCAAACGTAATGAAAGCGGAACGAAACTGCGCTACTCATTATATTGTGCTTAACGGGCCATTTATTAGTTCAGACCAGCAACATCTGTGCAGCGCGAGATCAAGCGACACTGTGCTAAGAGATCCAGTGAAAAAAACATTTTAATTCGCCACTGAAGTAACATCGCTGCGAGATCTAGTAAGAAGCATTCACATTTCTCCGTTATTAACCGTGGATCTCTATTAGATCAAACAGCGCTGACGTGGACACCAGGAGAAACATTGTGCCGTGAATGAACATGGATTTAATGTTGCCATGTTATGCCAATGTTATCCTTCAAAATTCAAATATTATATAAAAATATATTTAAATGTTATTTTTAATGTGATTACCAAAACATTATTTGTTCATCCTTCAAAGATTACCCCCATTTATAAACCTGAAAGTTTCAAGATGTAGGAAAACTCAAACTTATTTAAAAATATTTTTTCTTTTAATAAATAGGAAATTTCTCTAGCATTTCTTTCTTTTTGCTGTATCGTATCGAACCGAACCGCGAATTTTGTGAACTGTTACACCCCTAATGTATATATATATATTCTCATTATTTTTTTAAAGACTTTTTATTTTTTGTTTACATGCCTGCCGGGTATTTTAATTTGAGGTGCTATTTGTTTTTATATTAGACTTTTTCTATATTTACTGTTGCACTAAAGTCCAAAAGTGAAGAATTTATGTTATTTATTACTTGATTGTTCAAGCTACCTCACAGAAGTGCTCTGTTTGTTAACAGTTGTTGAATGTTAAAATAAGGTGAATTAAATAAAAAATAAGGAACATCCTGGATCTGTTTTTTTCCCCCGCTCATCTTTATTCTTTTTTTATGTATTATATAAGTATTGGATCGGGACTCGGTATCGGTAGATACTCAAAATCAAATGACTCGGACTCGGACTCGAGGGCAAAAAAACCTGATCGGGACATCCCTAGACACAAGGCAGTGTAGGGGGGAAAAGCGAAGGTCTAGAGACGTTTTTTAAATGACAGTTAACTTAAGCGGTACTTGGTGGATCAAAGAACGAATTTCATTTACAAATATGGTAGGAAAATGGGCATACTTTTAAATCGACACCTGCCATGGTGTGTCTTTTTTGTCGACTCCGATTATGATCTGCGTCTTAAGCCAATTCTCCATAACGTTTAACTATTCTGTTTGGTTACATCACATGGTAATGGGGAGCCACTGCTGTACATTCCCAGACTATTGTAAATATGGATGGAGAGAGATTGTACATACTATTTTGATCCGATGTCCTGGAGTGGTGGACAGGGCCCAGGTGCAGGCCTTCTTACTGGGGTATTTATCTGGCCAGTTAGGGCTGGTGATGGTCCCACTCACGCTGTTCACAACGTGATCACAACCGGCTGCAAGAGATACCAATAACACGTGATGTCCAACGTCGAATACACACACAAACAGTCTCCTCCTCTGTTCAAACTATAAACACTGAGAATCGGTTTTGTTTTTGGCATTGCATTTCATAACCTTCTCAAACACCTTTTCTCCACCGTTTGATTTATTTTCTCCCAAGCACTGCTACTCTTTCTATTTATGCCCGCAAGAGGAAGGCGTTCTCTAAAAATATCCAGACGCTAGTTAGTGCCAGTGAGCTTAAATCAATGGTGAAGGTTTCTGAGCATTCTTGTGCTAATAGGGACTCTAAAAACAACCAGACTGCTGTTCATTTCTCATAGAGAAAACCGTGATCCTCCAGACATACAGTATGTAATTCTGCTAGATTTAGTCAAATACTTGTCAAAACCAAATTTCCAACCCTAATCTAGGGTTGTGGCTTATCCTTCATTATAAAATAGACCGTTTCAGCTCTGATTGGATGAACCATGGTTATGCACACCTGTGACCACACATCAATTCTATATTAAAAGTACAGGGATAGTTCACTCAAGAATGACAATCCTGTGCACATTTACTTGCTTAAAACTCTCAAATATCAAAACGCCACTGGATCTTGTCTGCATCATAATCAAATGTGCTGCAATTTTGATTATGTGGAATAAAGAACAAGACTTGAAAGCTATGACAGAGGACGATTCTACATTTCAGTCTGTTCCTCACAAAGCTATGGTCTCTCTTCCGAAGAAGCATATTGAACACGATTATGGTTGTTTTGTGGTGCTTATTTGTCCTTTTTAGCACTTGATGCTGTACTGTAGCTGTGATCAGCTGTCATTGTATAAAGAAGAAAAGCATGAGCATTCTTCAAAATATCTTCTTTTGTGTTCCGCGGAAGAGAAATGTCATACAGGTTTGGAACAACGTGAGGGTAAGTATTGAACATTGGTTTATTTTATCATATAGTTGTTGCTACTAATTTATAAAACAATACGCTATGATTTTGAGGGAGTTTACATGGCCTCTCATGGCTTATTGCTTCAAAGCAACACTGCCTCAGTCTCATGTATCAACATATAAGTGTATGTGTGTGTGTGTGTGTGTGTGTGTGTGTGTGTGTGTGTGTGTGTGTGTGTGTGTGTGTGTTTTTTCACACCTTCCTTGCAGTCATGTTTATTCTCATGAAGTACAAAGCCACTTCTGCACTGACAACTGTAGCTGCCAAAAGTGTTCACACATTCATGCTGACATCCGCCGTTCTCCTTAGAGCATTCGTCTTTATCTGTGAAAACAAAGCACCAGATCTTAACAAAACACACTCAGGATTTCTTCCCCCCTAGAATGATTTAAAAAAATATATATATTTTAATAAAGACCTGTTTACTTTAACAGATTATAATAGAATTACACTTTTTATCGTGTTTCTTTGACAACAAAATGTTGAATTGTTCAATTTTCCAGAATATTACTAGCGTTTAATTTCTACTCATACAATAAATCAAGGAAATTCTACATTGGACTTTTTCATAAAAAACTGTAAACAATCATCTTTTAAAATTGATTTGGTATGTGTGATTTGTACAGTTTGAATCAATGACAGTGTTACTAAGGCCATTACACACACATTTATATAGACACGAGCTTGACATTAACTGTTTTTGCTCAGCAGCCACTGTGGCTAGTGGTCTTCTAAAGTTACTAGCCATTCAGCATTTTCACTGGCCACAATTTTGACATCTATACCATGGGGAAAAACTGCCATTTATATATTTTTAATATTATCTCATAATTTGGCAGCAGGTTTATTAGGCTGCTGTCACTTTAAGCCCTGACGCACGGATCCATTATACATGCGTTTTCTTTCTCAACTGTTTACATTTACTTTAAACATAACTGACTGTTTACATGAATACTCACCAAGACCAGCATTTTGACATTATTTTGTGTATTTGACTGTTTAAGTGCAATAAAAAGCGAAAAAGAACTCAATTAAGTGCTGAGAGGGGGCTTTATGTGCGCGCTTTTAGGTGTGGGCACAAAATCTGCGGAAGATACGCAATACGCTCAATCCCACGCCGAAATTCAAGCCAGGCAACACCAACAATATTCAGCAAATGAAACGAATGAGGGAGGGGAGGCGGGTTTGTGTGTAACTCGCTGTCGGCGAGATTAGAGAGTGAGAAAGCGCAGCTGGTATCGTGTATCTAATGAGTATTGGAAGAGTTTCAGATATTTCAGTATCGATATGTCGCGAAAAATCGATATTTTTGACAACACTACATTACATTTAGTTTATTATTTCAGATGCCTTTTTAAAAGACTAAAATTTTTAAATGTATATATATATATACACTCACCTAAAGGATTATTAGGAACACCATACTAATACTGTGTTTGACCCCCTTTCGCCTTCAGAACTGCCTTAATTCTACGTGGCATTGATTCAACAAGGTGCTGAAAGCATTCTTTAGAAATGTTGGCCCATATTGATAGGATAGCATCTTGCAGTTGATGGAGATTTGTGGGATGCACATCCAGGGCACGAAGCTCCCGTTCCACCACATCCCAAAGATGCTCTATTGGGTTGAGATCTGGTGACTGTGGAGGCCATTTTAGTACAGTGAACTCATTGTCATGTTCAAGAAACCAATTTGAAATGATTTGAGCTTTGTGACATGGTGCATTATCCTGCTGGAAGGCCGTACATGGTGGCCATAAAAGGATGGACATGGTCAGAAACAATGCTCAGGTAGGCCGTGGCATTTAAACGATGCCCAATTGGCACTAAGGGGCCTAAAGTGTGCCAAGAAAACATCCCCCACACCATTACACCACCACCACCAGCCTGTACAGTGGTAACAAGGCATGATGGATCCATGTTCTCATTCTGTTTACGCCAAATTCTGACTCTACCATCTGAATGTCTCAACAGAAATCGAGACTCATCAGACCAGGCAACATTTTTCCAGTCTTCAACTCTCCAATTTTGGTGAGCTCTTGCAAATTGTAGCCTCTTTTTCCTATTTGCAGTGGAGATGAGTGGTACCCGGTGGAGTCTTCTGCTGTTGTAGCCCATCCGCCTCAAGGTTGTGCATGTTGTGGCTTCACAAATGCTTTGCTGCATACCTCGGTTGTAACGAGTGGTTATTTCAGTCAAAGTTGCTCTTCTATCAGCTTGAATCAGTCGGCCCATTCTCCTCTGACCTCTAGCATCAACAAGGCATTTTCGCCCACAGGACTGCCGCATACTGGATGTTTTTCCCTTTTCACACCATTCTTTGTAAACCCTAGAAATGGTTGTGCGTGAAAATCCCAGTAACTGAGCAGATTGTGAAATACTCAGACCGGCCCGTCTAGCACCAACAACCATGCCACACTCAAAATTGCTTAAATCACCTTTCTTTCCCATTCTGACATTCAGTTTGGAGTTCAGGAGATTGTCTTGACCAGGACCACACCCCTAAATGCATTGAAGCAACTGCCATGTGATTGGTTGATTAGATAATTGCATTAATGAGAAATTGAACAGGTGTTCCTAATAATCCTTTAGGAGAGTATATATATATATATATATATATATATATACGCCACTGCTGAAATACACCTGCATTGGGTTGTATTATTTACACTACCTGTCAAAAGTTTGAAAGAAGTCTCTTATTCTAACCAAGGCATTTATTTGATCAAAAATACAGTAAAAAAAAACAGTAATATTGTGAAATTTTATTTCAATTTAAAACAACTGTTTTCTATTTGAAAATAGTTTAAAATTGATTTGATTTCAAATGTAATGTAATTTAACTCTCTGATGGCAAAGCTACATTTTCAGCATCATTACTCCAGTCTACAGTGCCTCATGATCCTTCAGAAATCATTCTAATATAATAAATCACACATAACATCAAAAAAACACGATACACGTTATACCAAAATGTGCTTTCAATAACAGCTATGGTCAGATGTTTTTAGTTTTTTTTTTTCGACATGCTATGTTTTGTTTGATGTTTTTTAAATTTCATAGCACGCACTCACCTGAGAAGAACTGTGCCTTGAAGCCCTTCTTAGAGACAGTGTTGTCAGATTTAAACTCAATGCGCATGTTGTTGTACTGAGAGGTGATGGCCTCCGGTTTCTCAGCTCCGCAGAACTTCCCGTGCAGTCTGGAGTCGGCAGAGAGTCCGCTCCTCACCTCAACAAAGTCATACTTGCACACCTGCAGAGGAGAAATTAAACCGGAGTCATACAGCAGCCAGCAGTTCACCTTTCAAACACTGCTGCTCAACCACAACTCACAACTTCTGAGAAAGGTCCTTGATCAAGGTAACCCAAAAACACTTGTCTTTTCAGCAGGGTAATATAATAGTGGCATTTATTGCAATGTTTTCTGCTTTGTATTAATCACATCTGCATGTATTATTAGTCACTTTGAATAAAAGTGTTTGATCAATGTAAAATGTAAACAAAAATTGAGAGAGAAAAGGAGTGGGACATGTTTGTATTGTAAGAAACTGGATGGATCCTCCATTTAAGTGGCTCAAAATGCTCCAAATAATTCATTGATGATCACAGCTTTTCATTGTGGTTCAGAACACATTTTGACAATAGTGGTTCACGAGCTGTACAATCGTTTCTGGGACAAATGTTGTTTTTGGCAATCGATAAAGCTGAGACAATTCACCCCTTTCACTATTAAACAAGTGCCAGAACAATGAATGAATGTTCCAGTTAAGTTCTACTGACAGCATTACTACAGACAATATCCACAAAACAAACAGAAATCATATTCAGAGTAATGCACTTACAGTGCAAGTAAGTGCATTACGTAGTACAAAACTGTAGTAGTGCACTTACTACGTGGCAAGACATTCCAGAGGGTTTAAAAGCAGAAACGTGCAGCTCGCATTTTAGAAGCACTTGTGTTCATACTTACATACAGAACATGTGTTTTTGAGCATGTGAATCATCCTTTTAATGGCGGGTGAACATCTGGTTAAATGTTATCAACAGAACTCCTGTGGATGGAGTATGAGTTTGCGGTAACACTTTACTTGAGGGGGTGTGCATAAGACTGACATTACACCTTCATAATCATGACATGACACATGTCATGAATATGAAGGAGGTTTTATGCATGTTTATGACAACTGTCATTAAGTGTCATTCGCTCAATTATGACATTAAACTGTTATGCGGTTGGTTTTGACATTGGCTGTCATGAGGCTATTATAACTGTGTCATGAGGCTATTATAACTGTGTCATGAATATTTTTCTTGACCTCAACTATAGTGGTACAAATTTAATTTGTCATTAAAATGTTATAATGGCCTCATGACAGCCAATGTCAAAACCAACCACCTGACAGTTTAATGTAATGTTAACCCATAAAGCTAAGTGGTTTCTTAAGTTTGATAATTAATCAGCTATGTCATGTTTATGACATATTTGTGACAGGTTGTGTTGTCTTAGTAACGTCAAGTTGTCATGACAAAGACACTGACAGGTTATGATGTATTGGTTTATGTCAATTTGTTATAACAAAGACATCTCAAACAATGTCATATTTGCATTAAAAATGTCATAATTGAGCGAATGACACTTAATAACAGTTGTCATAAACATGCATGAAACCTCCTTCATATTCATGACATATGTCATGTCATGATTATAAAGGTGTCATGTCAGTCTTATGCACACCCCTTCAAGTAAAGTGTTACCATCTGCAGTCTCTTGCCCTATAGACTTTCAATGCATGTCCATTATTGTAAACAGATTTGTTTTCGTGATCATAATTATTTTCTGTGGTAATTGACAACATGTCACTGATTTAGTCGATAAAGCAAAACCTGTATGGACCCAAAATATTCCCAGCTTTAATTTACTCAGCAATTATATACTAGGCTATTAATTTGAAGCTATAAAATGCTCAGGAAAACTTGCAGCTAATTTAAACACGTTTTAGTGCGTCGTCTTATTCAAAAGACTAATAGCTATTTAAAAAACCCAGAAAAAAATAAATAAATGTATTTAGCACTAATTTAATGATGTTGCTGTACATTAAAGCAATGTTAGTGGCATCTATTCAAATCTGAGATATAATATAATAATATAAAGACAGGCTGGAAGCCATTTGGTAACCGATATGGTAACAGAATAGCTCTGTTATAAACTTCCTGAGGCTTTTTGATAAACATACATGTAACCAGAAAACTGCCCTTCAACTTAACAGAAAATCATGAGTGTATTCGTCATGCGAGCTGCATCAGGCAAAATTGCCGTAAGCTATCAGCAATGAACAAGTGAGAAACATGAAGGCAATTTGGAGAAGTCAGTCCCTAAAGCCCTGTTGTGATTCACACTATCGAGCTGAAATGAACCAGACAAACCCACCCCACTCAGAGGCAAAAACCTAGTGCTCACATCGTTCCCCTCAGTCTCGAAGACGTCGAAGAGCAGGGTGATGCGGTACTGCGTGGGCGCCACCAGCTGCCAGATGCAGTTCTTGTTGGGCGGATACTCCTTGGGCCAGCCTGGACTGGTGATGGACCCATTCAGCTTGGTGATGAAACCCCCACAGGCAGCTAGAGAAAAAGACAAAAGAAAAACAACTTCAAGACAAACGGCAAAAGCAGATTTCAACAGGATCCGTTGACCAATCTGAACCAGATAATCAAGGACTTCAAGGTTTACTTGAAAATTAAAGGAATATGAAATTCCCCTCATGCTCTGTTTATGTACAGAGTATTGTTTTATATAGTTGGTTGTTTTCTTTGAAAAGTCTTTTTACCCTTGGCTTTAAACTTTATCTGAAGGCACAAGTGTGATTATTTTGAGTTTCTGTTGATCGATCAAGAATCGTTTGAGTCATGATGCATCAACAAGTGGACTCAACCCCTCCACACACACACACACACACACACTTTTTTTCCCTCTACCACTGTTTATATATTTAAATGAACAGTTCACCCAAAAATTTAAATTCTGCCATCAAAACATCCAAACAACACTGAATCCCATTGACATTTTTCAAATGATGTTTTGTGATTTGCAGAAACTCCCCTTTACACTGTGCCTAATTTACAAAACAAAATGATCCGAACAAAAATGTAATCCTCTGATAAGATCCGGGACGCCATTAAAATAAACCATCCACTTGTTTCCGACGCTGGGATCCTTCTGAAGTCTGTACAGAGACACAAACAAGCCTTTGAAACTAGACGCGTCAAAGCGAACGTTCTTTCACTCTTTCATTTGTCCTGTCTTCGACAGACTCTAGTGCGTTGAGCATGTCAGAAACTGAACTGAATCTGTATAATGTATCCAGTGTAGACAGCGTCAGTGACTATAATGGGTTTATTTGCTTTTGACGCGATTCGATGCTCACATCTAGTGTAGGGAAAAGGGACTTTTTAAGCTATGAAACTTGCAGGATGTGTCAATGGTTCAAAGACCTCATATGTCAAAAGATCAAGGCAAATTTGACTTCTCATCTCATGACCTCTTTAATTAGGGTGACCACCTGTCCTGCATTTTGAGGAACAGTCCTGAGATTGGAAGCTTTGTCTCGTGTCCTGCAAGATGCAAGTCGTGCCCCGAAATGTTTTTCACATTTCAATAAAAAAATTCGATATGATAATAAAAAAAGTCACTGGCGTTTAAAAATCCATTTGTACAGCTGTCATGTTCTAGCTAGAGTAGGGAAAATAACCAACCAACACAATCGCAAAGAGGGATTTCTCCACTGATGACAACTGGACGGAGCAAAGGAATCAGTGTGGACCTCATCACAAGTTGTTAAATACAGCTACACCAGCCAAGACCTCATCAAGACACATACTGGATAAGAACATCCTGATCAAACCTGCCAAATCCTACAAAAGATGCACTGAATCCGTTTGATAAGTCTTATTAAAGAAAAATAAACTAGTCGCTACGTAAGGAATTTTAACCTCCCACCAGACTGAATTAGCCTGACTACGTCAGACTTCGTACTTCCGCTCAATTTCATTTCGCTTCTGTACTCAGGCCCTGTCCCAAATGGAACCCTAAGCACTCGCGGTCTTCCTCTGAGTCCGCACTTTCGCGACGTAATGCCGCTTTGAATGTCGGGAAGAAGTCTGCTGTGGAGTCCGCATCAGCGCAGGCTCGGCAAAAGTGCGCATCAAGGGCGCAAATCGACCGCAGAGGGGGCGCTCGCGAGCACCCTTCTGAGATCTAAAAATGACAAATGGGACACACTGCGGTCTCACGGACTTAACGGACACGCGCACGCGGCAGCCATTGTAAGTCCACAAGACCGAAAGTGCACATGAAGTGTGCCATTTGGGATTGGGCCTGTGTCTGAGACAGCGGCCTATCTATCCGTTTTCCTCCGGCCTGAAAACAGCCGGCCAATCAACGAACAGAGGGCGGGCTGAAAGCCGTGACGTAGTCGCTAAGCGCCGAGTTTAAGATTAGGTCAGGGAGATCGAAAACGACCGCGGATATGGAGACGCGGATGCAATTCGCTCTGTTGTGGAGAATATTCCCGGCATTCGCAAACTGAAGCCCGAACAAGAAGAGTGTGTATTAAACATTTTGAATGGAGGTGATGTTGTGGCCCTACTCCCTTTGGGAAAAGTTTAATTTATCAACTATTACCGATCGTCAGCGAGAAACTGGGGAGCCTTTTGACAGGTCAGTGTCTCCTTTCTTTTCCAGGTCTTAAATATTGCCATGACATGCTGTAATCTTGCAATTAAGTTGCAGCATTTCCGACAGACTCGAGATGAACAAAGAGCTGTGTTTAACAGAACTAATCCTAACTTTGACAGTTGGCTGAAAAATATTTTTTTGTTTCTCTCTACTGTCAAATATCAGTTTAGAGGCCCTGATTTTGTACCGTGGATGCGTAGATTAACTTCGCATAATCTGCAAAAGTCGTTTACAGCCATGTTCACTCCGGTATTTCGCTCGCATCATCAAGTGTTTACAGCAGGTTTACAGTGGAAGTTCGATCATAGATTTGAGTTCGATGCATGATGTCTGTGGTTCGATGCGGCTGTGTTGGCACATAACATACGTCATATATAAACTTATCTGATTGGCTTACGGGTAACCAATGATTTTAAACTTCAGACAAGCGCCCCCTAGCGAGAGAGAAAACACTTCTCTATTATGCCATTCCAGACTCTGTCTACGAAGCAAAGTGAAGTAGCAGAGTCTGGTATTACCAGGCTAAGACTGAATAGGTTCTGTAGAGTAAATTACATTGTATCACTTGAACCCGGGCAGCCGGTCACAATTAACAAAGCTTATTGGCGATTTAAAGTAAAGGCAAATAGGCTTTCCAACAAATGTAAATCAATATTTACATAGTATACTAGTAGTACATTCATCCCTCTCTCACGTGTCCTGCATAGTTTGTATAGAAGTCTTCTAGGTCAATTAACAAAAATAACCTGGATTATTCAGGTTTAATTCAGTTCCTGACTAAAAAATTAAAGGCAAACATGTACAACAGCCCCTTAAAAATGTCTCTTTGGAAACAATTTTTGTAAAAGTATGCTTATATATTTCATGCACAACACACCTAGATTCGAAGCACTCTTATAAACGTTCACTTTATCAAGCTGACCAGCTTGCGGTTTGTCTAAACAGGCGGAGGGTAGGCTACACATAAAATAACAAGAACAGTCCTGTTTAAATTCAAATAGACAGAAAACAACCCCAGGGTTCATATCTCATCAAAACACGAAGCAGAAAGACAGAGTAGTTTAGTTTAATGCGGTACGATCCAAACGAACGAACGGATCCCCTACAGCGATTTCCACTGAACACATGCGCTCGGGGAGAGATGTTTCCATGGCTACCATCATGCCGTTTAGAAGCCTTTTGGACAGCCCTTGAAGTTCGAGCTTTGTGTACATTTAAGCTCTATCTGTCTCTATTCCCACAGGACTGTCGTGCAGTAAATCTTTTACATTGGCCGTTCTGTGAGAAAGAGCGGCGCAGTCATTATGATAATGTTGGATTTACTACTGATATGATAGCCACCGGGAAGATGCGCTCGGCCAATCTTTCTTTTATCTAATGGGGAATCATTTTCCGATCGCCCCAGGCTGTCACGATTGAGCTGTTGAGTCATCTCAGTGCATGTCTGAACAAACAGATTTTTGCTCAATATAGCAGCTGCAGGGTACGTGCTGTCCTAGCGACTGCCTCGCGTATACAGATATCAGCCGGCGATATAACACGAGACATTAGCTGTTAGACAAACAATTTACCTAAGAATGCTTTGACCTTTAACCCAAACTGTTTGTTTTTGTGCTTTGTTCAGGAAGAATATGAGCCAAACTTCACGGTTATTTGAAGCCACTCAGAAACACAGAGCAGCGCTTTTGTAAGTGTCGTGCGGAGGAGGGTAAAGAAAGCCAAGCAAGCCTGCTGTCGATGTGAGGAAGGTGCTCATAACTTGCTGGCAGCCCCGAGCCAATAGCACAAAACAGATGTCGGCGGCGTGTCAACAGCGCAAGCAGGAGTAGTAATTAAGAGGATGCAGTAGCACAGACTGTCCACTAGAGGCAGACACTGCTGCCAGCTGCTTAGAGGTAATTCTTGTGCCATTAAAGTCTCTTAAAGACCTGAAATCAAAATGTAAGTTTTTAGCTTTTACTATGAATATGTTAGCCTTAAAGGAACAGTTCACCCAAAAAATTTAATTAGCCCATGATTTACTCACCCTCAAGCCCTGATGGGTTATGACATTCTTCTTTCAGACAAATACAATCTGAGTTATTTAAAAAAATGTCCGGGCTCTTCCAAGCTTTATAATGGCAGTGAATGGCCGTATATTTTTTTAAGTCCCTCAAAGTGCATCATATCCATCATAAAAGTGCTCCACACGGCTCTGGCGGGTTAATAAAGGCCTTCTGAAGCGAAGCGATGCGTTCGTGTAAGAAAAATATCCATATTTAAAACTTTATCGACTAAAATAACTAGCTTCCAGCCTTTAACAACCCCACGGAGCCGTGTGGAGCACTTTTATCATGGATGGACGCGCTTTGATGGACTAATGGTGTGTTCACACCGGACGCGAATAGAGCGCGCGTCTATCGAGTCTAGTTAGACGCTTGAACATTTTGAACCCATTCGCGCGTCCGCGTCACTCGCGAATAAAAAAAACAACACCACAATTTCTTTCTGGCATACGTTTCCGTCATGTCTGAAATAAAAGATATTGCTGCTCTGTCCCCAAATACGGAGGAAAGCCAAACGCCGACGTGTCTGGGTTCACAGCACCATCTGTGTCTGTTTTCATCACTCAGGTAGTCCAACTTCCTCGCTTATTTTTCTCCAAGCTATTTCCTTTTTTGCCCGGTCTCTGTAAGTATACGACGTAGTATCGTATATTTCAGGGTACCCACAGACGGCAACAATTAGCATCTCCTCCATTTTCGACAACAGTGATAGACCGGACGTATCAATTAGTGTCTTCGTTGATTGGCTGGCGCAACAAAGCGTCATGCGAATCTTCCGCTCGAGTTCAAATTTTTCAACTCGCCCAATTCACGTCATTCGCGACGCCCGGCGCGAATGATGCGTCTATTCGCGTCTTTGCATTGACTTTGTATGTAATCTACTCGCGCAAATAATTAAATTCACGTTCGACCATTATACAGCCATTCACTACCATTATAAAGCTTGGAAAAGCCAGGACATTTTTTACTATAACTCCAATTGTATTCGTCTGAAAGAAGAATGTCATATACACCTAGGATGACTTGAGGGTGAGTGAATCATGGGCTAATTTTAATTTTTGGGTGAACTATCCCTTTAAGGTTATGAATAAGCTGGTTCCAAAAAAATGACAAATTCACATTTATGAGATATTCATACTATAATTTCATACCAAATTTCATACTATATAGAGTATACTTTTTTAGCAGCCATGAAGTAAATAAAAAATTAAACATAGTACCTACTCAGAAAGTATGCGATTTCGGACACAGTGATGGTGTACCTCATTATCTTTTTTTTGTATGAATGTTCTAATAACAAAACTTAAGAAGAATTTGAGTAGAATATTCTTAAAAATCTCTGTAAATAAGCTCTTAAAGTTAATTTATTTGGGTTGTTTCAAATATTAAACATTATAATATAACTCTAGCTATGGTAGCACTTTATTTTACAGTCCTGTTCAGCATGTACATACTATGTACTTATTAAACCTATTAGAATAACTGTGCAATAAGCCTGAACCTACCTCTAAACCTAACCCATGTAGTTACCTTATATTAACCACTATTACCTTAGGTAAGTACACTGCAAGTACACATTGTACTAGTGCGACCCTAGCTACATATAATACATTTAACTTTTTTTAGGAATCTGCGCTAACACTCTGAATGATCGGTCATAATTATCCGTGACGTGACTTTTTGCTGAATTTGAAACTCAACGACAACTCTACGAAAATGAGTCAAAACAGGGATCGTATTTTAAATTGAATAATTATGCAGGATTAGTATTATTACGCTAATCTGCATGCAGTGCAAAAAGACAGCCTTTGCGTTGATCAGTGAGTCTTGGGCAACGACTGCCATACAATCAGAAAATAGATGTTCTTAAGTAAATAATTGACAACTTCTTACGAATTTTTCTTACAAACCGACCCCTGATTTGTAAAAAAAAAAAAGTGATGTCATTGCCCTAAAACAATTTTAGAATGAATCTTTATGACCACACACAGGGTGTTTGTACAGCTTCGCCTCGACGCTACCGTATAATGGCGCCATGAACATTTTAAATATGGCACTGGCCTGTAACCAGCAAAGCACTGTTCACATACTGACCCTCGCAACTCCGTTTGTCCGCCGCCAGTTCGTAACCAGGGTCACAGGCACACTTGTAACTGCCGAGCGTGTTGACACAGCGTTGCTCACAGCGACCGTTGTCGGGTCTGGAGCACTCGTCCATTTCTGCAACAACAAGAGCAGCAGAACTTAATGAGTTACAGTATCTTAAAGGTTAAAGGAGCGATGCGAACATCTGAGGAGATATTGAATGCTAATATTGTAGCATTAGCATTATTGGCATTGTATGATTAAGCCAAAACTGGAAATGGATAATATCAGGGCTTATTTTCTTTTTGCATCATATTGGAGATGGGCTATAATGTAAACTTTCAAGCTGAAGTAAAATTCCAAGCTTTAAAGCCAATCATCAAAGCTCAGAAATTTCCATTGATAGAGAACAACAAACGTCAAACCTCACCTTTGAAGAAATTAGCAGCAAATCCAGCCTTGTTGACAGAACCGTCAGACACAAATTTCATCCAGAGCTGGTTGGAACTGGATTTAATGTCATCAGGTTTGTCATAACCACAGAATCTGCCCAACAGCGGGCTGCTTTCTGAGTTCCCATCTCGAACCTCCAGGTAGTCATACGCGCAGTTATCATGCCTCTCAATCTTGGATTGAAAAGACAAAAAGATAATGGAGAAAAAGGGAATGGAAAAACTAAATTTAAACCTGAAAGACCTAACATGTATTTCTTTTCTTTCAAAGCAAGACGTGCCATTTACATTTGATGGCAACCAGCTGCGACTGTAACCAACCTTTTCATCAAAGTCAAGAATATCTTAAGAAAAGAATGAAGCAGAAACAAAATTGAATGTTTTTCCCGTTTTCATTTAAATGGACAGATCTACAACATCACTGTTTCTAATTCAAAGATCATGGGGAGTTTGAGTTTATTTACACCAGCTGGTTAGAGACTAAACTAAACTCAGAACCAGGGCAATGACATGACATATCAGAATCAGCCAGCCAAATGACACTACATTAAAAATAATTTAAAATGCAATTAAAGGTTACAATATATAGTTTGAAAGCACATAGCAAGTAGCAACTATATTCAGTTTAAACAAATAAATAAATGGTATGACGATGTGATGGACTTCCCATTAAAGTCAATGGGTCTTATTCACTAATAATTGCGTGGATTATTTCGTATTTGTACGCACAGGAGATCTTCTCACGAAAAATATCCGCCTAATTCACAACACGCTTATACGCACATGAATTTGTTCTTAATATCGTTCTGATGTTAGTGAATTTGGAGTATTCTAAATGAGTGGCCGCGAGCACGAGTTGTGTTTCAGTTGTTCCTATATTTTTCCGTAAATATAGTGAATTAGACCCAATGTTCATAAAAATGTCATTACATTTGATTGATATGTATGCAGATGCATGAACAATGATGGCTTTTTTTCACTCACTTGCTGATGGGTCAAGCTGCGTTTCAAAATGGAAAAAGTTATATTCTTATAATATCTGTTATATCCTTATAATGTGAGCATTTCCATTTTGAAACGCAGCTTGACCCATCAGCAAGTGAGTGAAAAATGACGCCATAAGTAAAAAAAAATGTAATATAATGTTTTTTTTTTTTTTTTTATAGAAAAAGTACTGTGTACAACAAGGCCCCGATATACTGACGGCGAAGTCCTTTTTCGTTCTTTGTTTAGGGGTAAAACGAAGTTCGAAATACGTGACCAGCGAAATACTGTTAGCGGACATCCGACGCCGCCCACACTGCTGAGAGTAGGCTTTAGATGAATATGTGCTGTTATTTTCCTCTCAATAACAAAATAAACACACAACTAAATTGAGAAAACAGCAAGCATTTTTATAAAGCATAAGATAAGCACCTGATCATAGCGATGTGGATCTATGGCACTCCAGTAAAATCACTTTGCGTTCATTTATATAGCACTTTATACAATAGATTGCTTAAAATCAAGCAGCTTTACCGTATTAAACTTGAAAAACAGTGTCATTCTCTCGTTTCATCAGAATTACAACTTCATTTTCTACTATAAAGCAGCTCTCCAGTGTGTTTTCACGGATGTCTGACCGCGACCGACTGATCAGGCCAAATGAACCAGAAAAGAAAAAAGATTTTCACGTGAAAGAAGGCGGAGCCTCAGCGCACACCTACCAATTACGTAATCGCCGCGGACCAATGGTAGTATAAAGGTGTTTACCAGCCGGAGAGAACTTTTCCAGAAAGTTCGCTTTAGCAAGCTGTTTCAAATTCCTAAAACGAAGTTCGTTTCGGCCGGATTTTGTTCGAATTGACGTCACATAAGTTAGTTCTTCGATTTCGCTTAAAGTATATCAGGGCCTATATTGAATTATTTATTATTGAGTTGCAGCCCTATTTTTTCCAATCCTATTATGTTTATTTCTTGTTTAGGACACACTCTAACATTAAAACATGGTGTATAAACTAGCATTTTTTAAATCACAATTTTTTGTGCGATTAACAATCACAGAATATGACAGAGTTTGGATTAAAGGGTTAGAATAGAAATTTCCGCCTCCCAAAGTTACAGGTGCTTGCGCCATTGTAGATGCTCAGTTTGATAAACTCCCGACTTCTAATGACGCAATACCACGCGCTTCAGTCATTTATTTGCGCGAAATCATTTGAATGCGTTAAGGATTTTGCGCTAACGCGTTGACAGCCCTAGTATAAACAATTAGTTACATGCTTATTATACAGTAATAAGAACCTTTTTCCAATCATACCTCAAAAGACTGGAAGGTAAGGCCTACGTGGTATCCCTGAGCCACAGTGACTTTCCACACACACACTTTGTTAGGTCTGTAGTCATCTGGGTAGTTCGGAGACTGAATTTGACCATTGTCTTTCTTCACCTCCCCACCGCAAATAGCTGCAAGATAAAAGACAACAGCGTTCACTTCATTGTTAACAATCAACATCATCATTTCCTTTTTTGTAATATAGACCTAGAAGTACCAGAAGGACGCTGAGCCTGCAAACATGACAGTAAAGCAAGAAAATCCCTTCCTTCACAACAAAAACTACAGGAAAACGATATTGTTAGGCGTTTTCCTAATGGAAACTCTCAGTATATCAGTTACGGATGGATTTAGGTCTGTGGGGCAAACTCTTATTATAAATGTTTTCTGTTGACAGGTTATTCTGAGCACTCTGGACTCGCCCTAGTCAGTGGCCATGAAATTGCAGCCTTGGGCTAATTTTGCCCACAACTCGTTTGATTGTAGAAAAAAATGATGAGAAACGCAAGGCTACTGCCACAGCAAATTATTAAATATATGAATGTTTACATGAAAATGTCAATAGTATGAGCTCAAGGCACAATTTGTTGACATTGTATGTGCCTATACTGGCATGTCTTAATACACATTATAAAGTGTGTGCTGAATGTTTTCCCAATTGGAATGGTGGCACTTAAGCTTAAGCTAGTTCCTCTTTATAATTTATTCTATGTACATGTTTTAGAAAATGTAATGGTTGTTGAGTTGGTTGATTGCTGGTACCTTCATAAACCACAGAGAAGCCCTTTCCCACCCAGTTGCTGCTACTGCGAAACTCAATCCACAGGCGACTGTCTGTAGAGACGATCGGCTCGGGTAATTTATCCCCACAAAATCGACCTGCATACAGAGGTACAAGCAAATAATTCAACTTTAATTATCAAGCTTCAAGCTATTACTTGTTTCATATTTTTTCTTCTGAAATGCCAGAGGTTCATCTCAAACCTTTCAATGGTGCTTTCCTCCAATATCCATCTCTGATTTCCACATGATCATACCAGCATAAATGGCTCCGGTATAAATCCATAGATGTAAAGTTCAGAATGATCTTAGGAAATAAAACAAAAATGGTGAATTGTTACTAGAGCAAGTTTAAATCTGTGCAGGTGTAATGATTACAAGCAATTTGTGGAATTAGAAGCAAGGAGGCTGATCGTCTATATAACCAGGCTTCATAATTCTGAAATGTACTTAATTTTAATTAAGTCAAACTGTGTGGAGGTAGTTATATCAGATTCATAAAAAAGTCATTATTTTGATCCGGTTCTTTTTTAATGATTCAATCGAAGCATTCTGCAGAGTGTAAATTACTCCACTCTGAGCAAGACATTTGTTTTGGAGTAAAACTATATGGTGAGAAATGTAAATAACCATATTTGACGGAATATTTTCTTTGCATTAAAGTCCCCCTGTGGTGAAAATCAAGTTTTTAATGTTGTTTATATGTCTATGTGGTGTTTTTAATACGCTTTAAGACAAACCATGTGCAAATTCATAAGTCAACACCATTGCTGAGTATTTGCTCTTTAAAACTGCAGTGAACTAGCCTGGTTAAAACCAGACCATTCTCAGTTGTAACTGAGTTATGGTCTGGCAAAGCGTCATAGACAAATCATTTCCAGAGGGGCGTCACCAACGGATGTCGCGGATAGACCTAAACCCAATCAGAGCGATGAAGGAGATGACCTATGCAGAGCGGCGGAGAAACATCTCCGAGTGTTGTTCTTTGCTCGGTTTTTAACAAAAAGGAAACGTTCAAATCGCTTAAAACAGACGCGATAGCTGATTCGAACGAGTGATGTTCGACGGCGGCATCCATCTTTGTAATGTAGGCTACAAAATCTGCTTCAAAATCCCAGCGCTGTCGTCATCGTGTAAAGCCCGCCCCAACGTTTCTGATTGGTGCCGCGATTTCGACGGATTGGAAATGAGCTTGAATGAGCTCTTTGCCAGACTAACTTTCAGAGCAAATCTAAATTTGCCGGAAGTTGTCTGGGTTTTCCCAGGCTGGCAGTGAACCAAAGACAGTCTCAAAAACACGGTTTGAAATCGCTGGTGTTTCTGACGTCACAAACTACCTTGTAACCAATCAAGTCAACGTGTGATCGTCAACCAGTGGATCTCTGAGCTGAGTGAGTGAGTGGAGGCGGGGCTCATTTGCATATTCATAGAACCGCTTATACTAAATTAGGCAAGGGTGTAGAGTTACCTTCAAGCTATTTTAAGGCATGAATACTTTTTTTTCCAAGAAATTGGTGATTAAAGATGAGTTTTAAGGGATAACATTAATGACTACAACGGGACTTTAATTAAAAAACTGTGAAATGTGATAATGTACGTGAAAAGTTGTTAAAAATGGTGTGTGAAGAAGGACCGATGGAAACAGGTGACTCAAAGAATCAGTGAATCAGTTTTTTGAACTCGCTCATTAAAAAGAACGGTTTGACCAAACCAAGTCACCGAAATGATCTCGACTTCCCAACTCTATGTGGGACCAATATCATTGTTTATTCCACAAGCAATCCTTAGGCCAAAAAAACATTTCTCACAACAACTAATCCGAGCAAATCATCAGAGCGTCTGGCGTCTTCACCTTTTCTCCTGGTGTGACAGAAATTCTCCATATGCAGTGCATATAAGCTGAATAACCATTGGGAAAACCAGGAGAAGAGAAGTTCCCACTACTCTCCTGCAAACTGTCTCCACATCCTAAGAAAGAGAAAGAGAGAGAAATAAAGAAATGTCATTAGCCGTCAATGTTCAAAAGGAGTTGAACAGTTCAATACACAAAAACAAGATTATTTGATTAGTTACACAACGGCCCACAAAGACAATACGCTCCCTGTATATAAAACGTTGCTGTGCGTCACAGAACACAACAAAGACAAAAGACCACGAAAAAGTCTGGATTGTCTTTCACAGTGTGCGCCTTGAGCGCTTTCATGTTATGAAGCACATCTGCTTCTAATGTTACACACCTGCCTAATATTCACAGCAAAGAGCAAGAGAAGGGAATAAAAGTGGTGCGAAATTCAAAAGATTTTCAATTATACGGTGCAGTGTGCAATTAAAATGAAACCACGGGCAGCGTACTTTATTAAATGTGTAATTAAACGCTCTAGTGGTCACTGTGGAAATACACATGGCAAACCAGCATTGCTTCATTAAATGTTGAAATACCAGCAGTTTCATAATATATTCATATAACTAAACATGTGCAATGGATAATGTACAGTCTGCTTTATGCTGCTTTAAGTCACTATTGAGCACTAATGAGCAGCTATCTATCTATCTATCTATCTATCTATCTATCTATCTATCTATCTATCTATCTATCTATCTATCTATCTATCTATCTGTCTGTCTGTCTGTCTTTGTTCTATCTATCTATCTATCTATCTATCTATCTATCTATCTATCTATCTATCTATCTATCTATCTATCTATCTATCTATCTATCTATCTATCTATCTATCTATCTATCTGTCTGTCTGTCTGTCTGTCTGTCTGTCTTTGTTCTATCTATCTATCTATCTATCTATCTATCTATCTATCTATCTATCTATCTATCTATCTATCTATCTATCTATCTATCTGTCTGTCTGTCTGTATGTCTGTCTGTCTGTCTGTCTGTCTGTCTGTCTGTCTGTCTATCTATCTATCTATCTATCTATCTATCTATCTATCTATCTATCTATCTATCTATCTATCTGTCTGTCTGTCTGTCTGTCTGTCTTTGTTCTATCTATCTATCTATCTATCTATCTATCTATCTATCTATCTATCTATCTATCTATCTATCTATCTATCTATCTATCTATCTATCTATCTGTCTGTCTGTCTGTCTATCTATCTATCTATCTATCTATCTATCTATCTATCTATCTATCTATCTATCTATCTATCTATCTATCTATCTATCTATCTATCTGTATGTCTGTCTGTCTTTGTTCTATCTGTCTAACTATCTATCTATCTATCTATCTATCTATCTATCTATCTATCTATCTATCTATCTATCTATCTATCTATCTATCTATCTATCTATCTATCTATCTGTCTGTCTGTCTGTCTGTATGTCTGTCTATCTATCCATCTATCTATCTATCTATCTATCTATCTGTCTGTCTGTCTTTGTTCTATATATCTATCTATCTTTTTTTTTACTAAAATGCATATAAAACAGATTGACAAACAGCAATTTGAAAAGAGATCTTGGGACAGGGTTTAATGACTGATCATCTAGCAGCCAATCTTCTCCCTCGCTTCCCTTCACAAGGGCTTGTAAACTGATCTTGTTTAGCAGTTTACACTCCTTATATTATCCACACGTGCTCTGCACGCACGAGTTGTCAGTCATCATGTAAAACTAGAGTGGCAAGAGCAGAGATTCTTCAGGCCAAGTGTGCAGTGTCTTCAATGTTTAGACCATTAACAAGCGGTCTGGCAAGCCACAGCAAGTGACAGACACAGGCAAGGAATGCTGCGCAACAACACTTACACACTTTCTTTTTTTCCCAGAGTGTGATTTTCTGCATCCTACTCTGCGTACGGCCACGTCATCCACACATGCCGGCTGTATGGATACGTCATGAGACACAGGCCAGAGAGCCATATTTGTAAAAGGAGCAACAGTCCCAGATGAGATTATTTATGGGTTGTTGGTTTCACTAAAGCCATGCTAAAAATTCCCATTACAGCCCTACAATGTGTTTGAAAGGGTATCAATTATTTTTTGCAAGCATATTTCAAAATCAAATGTAAAACTTTTTAAAAGACCTTTAAGATTAATACTGTAAATCCAACTCAACTGTATGTCCAACAACTCAAACAATCTCAAAATTAATCATGTTATAGATTTTTTACTAGATTAAACAGCACACATTTAGTGAGGACTTGCTATCAGCAAAACAGGGTAAATAAGTTTTAAAGACTGTTTATGTATATATATATATATATGCTGTATGTATTTAAATTGGTTTGTGTATCAATACATTCATATTAGGGGTTGACTGATACTGTAATTTTCTGATACAATAATAAAGCAATAAACAGATTATTTTGCAATTACCAGTGTTGGGTGTAATGCATTACTAAGTATTACTTCCCTTGAAAAAGTAAAGTAAAAGATTACTCTTATTTTTTTCTGTAATTTAGTTACTTCTGATGTAATTGCACTAATACTGTATAGACTATATATACAACAATAGTAGTGTCACGTTTTGAGGTTTTTTTTTATCCGTTTCTCTGTTCTGTTCATGTTTGAGTTTCTTTCTTAATCTTCTAGGTTGATGAATTGTTCAGTTCTCCTCCGTTCTCTCCCTGTTTGTTTCTATGGTTTCTAATTGATTGTGTTAGTTATATTATTTATTTTGAAGAATCAAAGGAGCCGTTTCGTGTCTATCCTTGTGTTGTTCAGTTGGCCTAGGTTGTATGGGATTTAGAAAGTACTGTATTCAGTAATAAGTAATTAAATTAATCTTTTTAGAGAGAGTAATTAGTACAGCAATCTAATTACAAGGTCGAATATGTAATTCACCCTTCGCCTGGAGTTTGATTGACAGGCGATCTGAACAATCATAATCCGCTTTTCCGCTGAATCCGCCATTTTGTCAGTCAGGAGAGTTAGTAGATTAACGTCAGTGGACTTGAACGCAAAAAAAAGTGTGTACTGATGTGTTTCCGCGGTTGAAACAACATTCCTTCTGATGTTCATTCACGTTTATTTGATGCTATAAATCAACTAGAAGGAAGAGATGATCGGTTCACGAGCAGCTTTAACTGAGGCGCTACAGCGATCTGTCACCACACATTAAAGAGCCACAAAACTGTATTTATTGCTTCAATTTCTTTAAAAAAAAGACAAAACTTGAAAGCTGAGACATTGTTTCATATCAAAAGTAACCTGCTCTGTCCTGTCTGTCAGCGATGTGTGGCGTGAGAGCGGCTTGTCAGACGTAGCAAAAGTAACTGAAGGGGGCGGGTCTTTGCGAACGGTCAATTAGTAGCTATATTAATGACTTTTTAGAGTAATTTACCCAACACTGGCCATTACAAGAAAAATCTATTTATTTAAATTCTTAAATAAAGAGAACCTACAAATGTTAACATTGAACTAAATGCCAAATACAGTTTATTATAACCAAAATATCTATGAAAACACGTAACGCAGGGCTTTTGACAGGAAACTTATTTTGAAATGTCTATGCTTTACTTACAGCTGCTCATTCAAAAAGACCAGGGAGGTAAAATACGCAACATATTGGAACATAAACACCATAAAGTAAACATTGTCATAATTCATTAACAGCAATCACTTGGCGTAAATGTGAGGTATTCATTGCTTGAGAACTGGCCAGAAACTACAAGCCTGTAGAACAGTTCTGCGTTATATATATATTTTTTTACTTTGAACGTGTTTTATTATACTTTTTTGATTTATTTAATTAAATAAATATTGAATTAAATCATAGCCTTTTGAATTTTAATCATCACATTTTTTAAGTGTCATGATTCCAGTTCGTATTTATTAAAAATTTTTAAGACAATTAATATACCCTGGTTTGCATTGAGGATACACTCGTTGCCTCTCTGCTAGTGTGTGTTTGAACATCTCTGCAAAGTTTACATGAAAAATGTCCTTTACTGCATTTATTTGCTGTATCCTGCAAAGCAACTGTTCTCTTCTCTGTTTTATCAGGGAAAGAAGACAAATTACGAACTTCCTGTGCTTGACCAGTGTTTACTCGGCCTTTCCGAGCCTGGGAGTAACGGAGACTGTCTCCAAGATACCGTACCACATCAATTCTGGATGCCATGTTATTTCCAGATCACATAAACTTAGTGTCCCACAGTTATACATTAGTGTCCCACCCTTATACTATGAAATAGGGACTGAATGATCTAAAAATTTGTTTTTCATGAGTAATGTTGTCTTGTTTTCCATCTAAATTATCTAAATATTCTTTAAAAAAGAATAAATTCTTTCTTTATGCTTTAACAAAACTATTTGCCATTGGGGGTAATAAGGAAAAAAAACCTAATTCTATGATAAATTCTATGAAAACAAAATGCCTTAATTACTTTCTCACAAAAAAAGAAAATTAACTAATATATATATATATATATATATATATATATATATATTAGGTTTTACTATTTATTTAGTTTTTAGGATGTTTAGATATTTTAAATGGCAAAAATACTGATTACCTGAATACTTGTGAAGTTCGCAGTCAGAGATGTTTTCATGATGTGCTTAAAGTTTCCAATGACCCAGATTTTCTATCTCCACCATCTTTTATTCTTGATGAGTCAGACATGAGCTTTACCTTCCTTACGCAGAATGACTTGCCAGATTACCCTTCTGTAATTCTGTACAATTTTTATGTTTACACATCTGTTATTTTCTTACTTGGACACTTGTAAAGTTTGCGTGCCTGTGTGATGTCTCCTTTGCTCAATCTGGTCCTCTGACCGATGGGCGGCCGGACTCCGTTCACATCATATCGTGGCAGAATGGTGTCCAAAAATATCCCTCTGTCAGCAAAAAAAAAAAAAAGGCATCACTTTAATCAGAATGAACAAATCCTTCTTGTTATTTTAATCCTCTTGTCTCTTATTCATTCACTATCTCTTGTTTCCTGGAATGTCTAACGATTCTCTTCACACCCACACACAGAATCACGGGTACTTGTATAAACACAAAACGTTATCTCACATTTTAAGATGACACGTTTCAGCAGATGTACAGAATGTGGCGGTCAGAACTCGACAGGCTGTATAGTCATTTGTGGGGCAGACAACAATCCAAAGGGAATTCAAGCCAAGCTGTGTTATCCGTGGAAGCAGTCATGGAAGCTGCGGCCTGTGGCTTGCCTGCTCTTCAGTTATTGTGTTAAGTGTAACACTATGTACAATGTTGATTATACTTCGAGAGCTTTGTCTTGGTTTGCAAAACACTTTACATCTTTGACTCCATTTGGTTGCAAAGCCTCAAAATACTGGCGGTAACAATATTTCTTAAAAGAGAGTACCATGATGCAGTAGCACCTCATTGCAGTACACGAGATCCAGGGGGCGGAGTTGGATCCAGATCTAAGGGGTGGAGATGGGTAGGATTAGGGGTGGGGTTAGGGATCAGGGGGCGGAGATGGGTAGGATTTGGGGTGGGGTTAGGGATCAGGGGGCGGAGATGGGTAGGATTTGGGGTGGGGTTAGGGATCAGGGGGCGGAGATGGGTAGGATTAGGGGTGGGTTTAGGGATCAGGGGGCGGAGATGGGTAGGATTAGGGGTGGGGTTAGGGATCAGGGGGCGGAGATGGGTAGGATTTGGGGTGGGGTTAAGGATCAGGGGGCGGAGATGGGTAGGATTAGGGGTGGGGTTAGGGATCAGGGGGCAGAGATGGGTAGGATTAGGGGTGGGGTTAAGGATCAGGGGGCGGAGATGGGTAGGATTAGGGATGGGGTTAAGGATCAGGGGGCGGAGATGGGTAGGATTAGGGGTGGGGTTAGGGATCAGGGGCGGAGATGGGTAGGATTAGGGGTGGGGTGGGTTAGGGATCAGGGGGTGGAGATGGGTAGGATTTGGGGTGGGGTTAAGGATCAGGGGGCGGAGATGGGTAGGATTAGGGGTGGGGTTAGGGATCAGGGGGCGGAGATGGGTAGGATTAGGGGTGGGGTTAGGGATCAGGGGGTGGAGATGGGTAGGATTAGGGGTGGGGTTAGGGATCAGGGGGCGGAGATGGGTAGGATTTGGGGTGGGGTTAGGGATCAGGGGGCGGAGATGGGTAGGATTAGGGGTGGGGTTAGGGATCAGGGGGTGAAGATGGGTAGGATTAGGGGTGGGGTTAGGGATCAGGGGGCGGAGATGGGTAGGATTTGGGGTGGGGTTAAGGATCAGGGGGCGGAGATGGGTAGGTTTAGGTATATGTATGGTGGGAGGAGTTGGATCTGGATCCAACTCCTCCCCCTGGATTTCGTGTTCTGCAGCAAGGACCATCTCCCATGATGCACTGTAGTATCTGTACGATTTCACATGCAGTACTGGCTCAGTATTGGCATGTATTATTCGAGTCCAGTGCAGCAAGCACAGTTATTTGACAGCATGTTATAAAGCGAATATGCAAACATTTAAAAGCCAAAAACATTTGTCTGACGAATCTGTACACAATTTTAACGCATCCGCCAACAATTCAAAATAGCGGATATGAAATATAACAACATGAAAGTGCCTCCGGTGATGAGTTTGGCGGACTTTAGAAAGGTTTGAGATTGTTTATAATCCTAATATTCGTTATTCAAGACACAATGGTAAATTTCAAAATAGTGATGCACCGAAAATAAAAATTTTCACTGAAACGCCAAAACTGCAATAAAAGTTCTCCTTTAGCCAAAAACCAAAACTGAAAATGAAGTTTGGGAATTACATTTGGTTAATTGAACTCTATTCTGTTCAGGGTGTCATGTTCACAGGTTATAATCCAGTCATAGTAAAGTTCTTAAGTGACGACGAGCCGTCTCTAAATATTTCAACCGAACAAATTTAACATATTACGACTCTAGCATCTTTTTTTGGTCATAGTGAAGTGCGTCATGTTTAGCTGCTGTAGCGTATCCAAATTACGTGCACGAAATAGATGTTGACACAGCCAAATTGGGTAATTGGAGAAGCCCAAACCAAAAATGTATTTTTGCGCCAAATATTTTCATTTCCTTAAATTTCGGTGCATCACTAGTTCAAAATTCCAGTTTTGGGTTTACAGAATCTCCATTCAATTTTCTGTGAAAGTGAATACATAAAAAAATACATACAGAACTTATATTATTTTTGTATAATAATATTCCAAAATGTACTGTAATATTGTGTAAACTGAAAATAATTATTAGAATATAACAGTCCATGAAATAATGACACAACACAAATTTTTTATAAAAGAGTTATCGCCATACTACTTATATTGGTGAATTTTCTTAAGCTGGTATTGTACCATGAAACAAAAAAGGTATTGTGACAATGATAGTTCACACTGGTTACTAACATTTGTCTCAAGTGATTCAATCACAAATGATCAGACAGGACAAGGAAAGGAAAGGTTTGTTAAAGGAAAGTTCACTTCAAAATGAAAATTCTGTCATCATGTACTCACCCTCAAGTTGTTCCAAACCTGTATGAGTTTCTTTCTTCTGTTGAACACAAAAGAAGATATTTTGAAGAATGTCAATTACCCGACAGTTGATGGACCCCATTGACTTCCATAGTAGGGGGAAAAAAATACTATGGAAGTCAATGGCTAACGTCAACTGTTTGATTACCAACATTCTTCAAAATATATTCTTTTGTGTTCAGCAGAAGAAAGAAACTCATACAGGTTTGGAACAACTTGAGGGTGAGTAAATTATGACAGAATTTTCATTTTTAAGTGAACTATTCCTTTAATAAGTATCAAATGAGTCTGTGACCACAAATGCTTCAGGCATATGTGTAGGCTTTTCCAAAAGTTTCTCAAATAACCTAGCTTGTTACACATCAGGACGCATCATGGACACGTGTGTGAACTGTCTGGACCACCTCTGAATGTGGTTTGAGGGAACAGATCGCAAACTTTTCCAACCCAGCAAAACTACAACTGTGTTAACATCCAACCAATCAACAGTAGTCTGGATCATGGTGACTTAAAAACATCATAAAAACCCCAATGGTCTGATGACTACCACTGATACAATGAACAATGACCTCTCCTGGCCTGGGACAGTCACTAAATCCGGTAGGTTTCATAGGCCTGAGACAGCGGCAGCCGAAACATGATCCGAATCCACGTTCTATTTGGTTATAACCTCCTGTATGATGTCACTGGATTCTTGATTGGTCACTTCAGGGTTGAGGCTTCCTAAGAAGCCATGACATCATGAGAATGTGTTGTAAATAAGCTATAAACAAAAGAAAAGTTGAGTAAATATGGAGAAAATATGGAGAAGTCACGTTCTCCAGTCCTACTACTGTAACTCAGGCTGAAAAAAAACACACAAAAAAACGTTTGCTCAGTTCAACAAAGAGTGATTCAGTATCAAAAACCTCTCTTTTCTCGCACTTCTTTTCGTACTTTGACACTCTTTGCTAGTTTATCGTCTAGCTTTTCACTCCATGGTGGCTAGTGAGGGTCTGCTCATTTGTTTGTTCCCATGGGAACCTTCCAGTCAACAGCAGGCATGTTCAAATAGGGAAGGATGGATTTCCAGAGCTCAACTATAAGGTTTATATGAAAGAAACCAGCAGAGAAATGCAACCCACATTTCAAGTAAATAAACAGTTTAGTGATATAAATATGTAGGCTACTTTCTTCAGATTCAAGTCAAACACATCAAAGATTTTTTTTACAGCTACATGAAACAGACTAATTTGAATCAAAACATTAAAAATATCATATATGTGAATATCATGAAAGCCTTTAAGATGAATTCCAGGTCATATTGAATGATAAAAAGGGTAGATATTTTTTTCCTACCATACATTCATCCTACATTTTAATGTACAGTATATATACATTATACAGTGTGTATATATATATATATATATATATATATATATATATATATATATAAAATAATTTTTTAAAAGAATTGCGTTACAGTGAAACTTTGTGAGGAAATGTAATTTTCAGTTTGAACTGAAAAGTCATGAAAATAATGTTACAATGAAAAACAAGCTTCATTTTATTTATGTAAAATAATGTTTGTATCTCTTGATTTTGGGGTCACCTGTGACCTGGCTGTTTTTGTAGGCTTCAGCTTTATTGTCGGTCTGTGAGTATAGAGCGGAACAGTAGATGTGTGGGTGAGCGCTAGCGCTCGGCTGGTGTCATTTCACACTGAAGACATACTGCAAGCTCTTTATTTGCTTTTGGCTCAACTTGCCGGTACCAGTTTCAAGAAGAAAAACCTCCCTGAGTAGGGTGGGTGGAACGGGGGCCAGGACACAAAGAAGGAGGTCGGAAAACATGCCCCAGACAAAAAGCTAGGAGGGCTCACCCGCTTCTCGGGGAGAAACGTTTCAAAGAAAAAAAACCTGAGGGAAGGCCATGAAATCCTCCCGATACAAGTGCAATCAAAGAACCTGTCTTCCCACGGAGATTTACAGTACGAGTACTCTGCAAACACAGCAGGGATGATGGGAAAAAAGACAACAGGACAGTGGACAAACAGAGCAGCCAGTCAGAACGCCGGGACTGTTAGCTTCTCTCAAGTTGCTGTGAAGTTTCTGAAGTCAAGATTCTTGAATAGAACGATAAATCCATGTAAGTTACACCTTTAATTTCTGGTATAACGGACAGAAAATGGAGGTACAGGAGAGGAGGGATATATGATAAACTCAAGAGTAAAACACAACCCAGATGCCTCAAGTAGACCAAATCTAGTAATCATTTAATAATTATGGGAAGAAGCCCAGGATGAGTTCACCATGTAGTCTATATATGCTCTGTGCTATACTTAACTCTTGGATTGAGTTTTCCAGCACACTCCCAGAAAATGGTTTAAGAAAC